TTCCATAATGACCCTCTTTGAGCTTTTGGTGGGTAAGGCAAAAAAAAGTTTTTAAAGACTTATGCTTTCTTTGTATCAAGAGGTCAACCCACACAAGTTCAAAAATATCAAGGCGACTCGAACACGCGCCGAGCTGTGCACCGCGATGACAAGGTTCTCACACCTTACCGTTGCACCAAGAAAGCTTAGATAAGGGGTCCAACGATGAGTTTACGATCATCAAAGATGAGTCGCAGGTCGGCTGTTTGAACGATCTCAATGTATTCAGCTAAATACTGATTGTAACTAATCTCATTAGTTGCCGTAAGACGGTCACAATGAGTGTTTTGACAACTCGATCATTTTTTGGATCGAGCGAAATTTGAATTTGGATGCGCTGCGCAGCAGGCTGCGGCCAAATTTGGCATCTCTTCTCTTCTCCTTCGCGGTCGACCCGGTCAACCTTTTTAGCAAAGGTAGTATAGGACCCTGGAATACACCCATGGAGGGTACTTACGAAAAAACCGACCTTTTGTTGACGTAGTTTTTCGATACTAAACTGCACTTTATCAATACCTACAGGAGCACAAAAGATGCACCAGAATGAAGGCTTTCAAATGCACTAGCTCGCAGCCTGGTAGCACCAATATTACCTAAGATATATCAATGTAACGCCCCAAAAAGGGCCAAAAATCGAGGGTCGGTTTTTGGCCTTGGAGGTCGAAAAAAAAATTGCGCCATCGCGATTTACGCCGCCGTGAGACACGATGCCGGGCTCTGTCTGGTCTCATCTGATAGCCCTACTCCATGCGCATCTTTTGAAGTGCTCTGCAGCTTCATAGAGGCACTGATGCGTAGTGTAGAGGCAAAAAACTGAAAATCATGCTCCGTCAGTACCCTCCATGGGTGTATTCCAGGGTCCTGGTAGTATGCAAACATTACGTCTTATTATAGGTCGGAGAAGTAATTGCTGTCAAGTTGATGCAAGCTGGCCACCACTAAAATAGCTTAAGCTTCAGGAAATCCTGATAGATCCTGATTCCTTGTCGAGCCTCGACACCATATCGAACCTCAAGCTCTAATTATAAAACTGTTCAACGCAGGGAGTTAAGAAAACACTGATTTAGCACCAGTCTCATGTACAACAATCATGAGTACACTTTTACGTTAATTGCGTTGCCACAGAGAATCTCTAACTCATCGGCCGGGGTTATTTTTTTTACTTCTCTTGATTCTTACTCACAAAGCACTGATTGACACATCACCATATAATTCCTTGCTTGGCTTCCAAGAATCTTCATCCAGAGTCTAATCTTTCAGTGTCCATTTGTTACATAAATATCTCCTCGATCCTCCTTTATGATGATGGCGCCTTCGCCCCAACCTCACACACTTCATCGGTTTTCCTCTCGCGGTAGGTACCTTATCTCCCTTCGCCCATTTGTGATGTATCTTTATGGAAGGCTGATATCTTCGCCTTTTTGACCTTACTTCTGTCCAATCCTCTGGGGATCATCTGACTCCTTCGGCATCTACTGCGTCAAACTCTTGTACACATTCTGCCGGTGTTATGAGTGCAGAGGAATCACAACGTATTGCCTGCCAAGCGCTTCAAGCTTATAGCTCGACTCCTGGCACTCAAGACGAAACGCCGAGTGTCATTTCTATTCTTTCCTCCTACCAGAGAGATGGAAATGGTGACGCTGGCTTGTTGCTGGCCATCTTGGAAGCCAAAAGGATGGAGGACGAGGTAGGCAACCAATCAAGTTTCCCTCTTGCTGAGCTACTCGATTTTAGCTTGAGCAATTTCAATTGACTTTGGTGTCTTTACCATTTGGGTTGGCCATTTCACTCCATACAGCGACTTGCTGCCCGCGATAATCTTGAGGCTGCAAGGCTTAGAGCTCAACATCCTCTTCGGCCCTCGCTGAACATGCCTTCTAGTCCGCCGGCACCGAGCGACATGGCTATCTGTGTCGCATCATTGCCAGAACCAGTGGCACATGTTAAGCCAGTTGATGGAACGGTACGACCTCACACCTCAGCTTCAACACCATCAACCTCGTGTCCGGTTGCATCGACAAATAGTAAAAAAAGATGTCGAGAATCACCAAAAGACAAAATTTCCAGTCATGAAACCGTAACACGGCAGGATGTAAACGCTGCCTTATTGGCCAAGATCGCTCGCTCCGACGTCACCAACCCAAAGCGTCCAACAACATCTTTGCCAGCTTCGATTCCCAGCTCAAGCATCCCTAAGCGCCTCCCTCGTCGGAGACCAATCTCTTCATCATCCATTCGAGCTCCTAGTAGTTCTTCTGGCCACTCGCCACTAGCTAATACACCTGAAGGCTCGCCAATTTCTCATCATGCCTCACCACCTACATTAACACCAACATGTGACTCTGCCCAGCTACCAGCCAAGGACTTGACGACTGAAGGGTCCCCAAGAAGCTCTCAATTGGGATCCTCACTGGCAAGATTACTCAATGATCCTATCGCAACTATGCCGCATTCCAAATCATGAATATATTTTTGTTTACATTTCATCTTGATCTTTCTTTCGCTTATCTTCTTGTAGAGTAGCTGAACAAGAAATTCACGTATGGCTTGTAAGCTCAGCCTCCCCGGAGCCTATAGTTTCCCGAGCATTGTTTTCAGCATGTTGTGATGTAATGATGTTGTCCCGCCTTTTACATTTATACTGTACATTAAATGATAGTTTGACATTGAAATAGAAAGGCGCATCCTGAAAAATGGATATTCCTTTTGAAAGTTGTGATACCAAGCACTGGAGTGAATTATTCCGTCATAGCTATGCCTAGGCTTCCCTTGTCTTTTATATTCGAGAAAGGTATCTGAATTTGTTTTTGGTAGAGAGTCAAAGCACAGATTGCGACTGGGCTCGAGGATGAGAAAAATGAAGAGATCTGCCACATTTGGGAACTCGCCAGGAGTGTGATGTCCTCGGCGCATATCGCACATGCTCCCGACCTCTACAATTTCGAGTCCTCATGGGTTTGAGGGATTTATGCATAAAGATTTGAGCATACCAAAATGTGCACTCACTGCCCTGCTTGAGAACCCTCTAGTGTTACTTTCAGTGTTCATCTAGGGTATAATTCCGTTGACATGGATAAGATCGTACACAAATTTCTGATAATACAAATTTCTGTCCCCTTATCCTTCAATGTGACTTTCTGGTCTGGTCGTCAAAGACGGAGAGTCTGATGAGGCCTTGCAACAAGTATGTCACCAAGTTTTTGTGAAACTTGAATGATTTATCATGTCGTACAATATTAATGGGTGGGTATCACAATGAAACAAATAAAAATAGGAGAACAATAGAAATACAGGTCAAGAGCAAGGAATAAGAGGCATTCCCAATCCCATGAGTCGAATTGAACACACAGAGTTCAGCTCTCGAAGCCAAGCATACACCTCGACTGGCTGTGAAAGGGTTACCGTGTGGATGGAAAGTCGCAGTATGTGCTGCGAGTCCCGAACCGCTTTAGGGGCGTTCACCTATCAATACAGAAGAGATATCTCGGGTGAGCAATTGAGAACTTTCATAGGGTAAGAATGAGTCTCCTCACATCGAGGTAACCAGACATATGCCAACGCGGGTGCTCTCCGATATTGACTCGCACATCATGAACGTCCAATTTGTCGCCAGCTAGTCCTGAAAGTACAACAGTTGTGTTCTCGCACAGATCGTTGATCACGGACAGATCCACCTCAGAGTCTGGAGAGAACTCAAGTTCGAGGCGATAAACGATTCTCAGCCGATTTGGAGAGACGTAATCAACTTGAGTGGTCAACTAGATCAGAAAACGTATAACAAAAAAGAGACCTCGGCTACGTGAGCATGTAGAGCAAAGAAACCCGAACCCGCAGGGTGTGGGAAACAGCACTTACAATGGTGCCAGTGATCGCGGCTCGATGAGAACCCGTAAGAGCAATCCAGTTAGATTTAGACCGCGCGGAGGAAGGTTTAGTAGTAAGGCTACCAGCAGGTGCGGTCTTTGGAAGCGACATCCTCATATCAGCAGTTATGCTTGATGAACGATACCAGAAGCGATTGTCAGATGAGGCGACATTGATGGTTAGACAATCTAGAACAATATAAACGTACGCTTCTGTAGTAATGCCGATGATTCCTTGGCGCCGCTTGGCTTTGAGGATGATCGAATAACTGACGTGGCCCTGTTCAGCAGAAAAGAGCACCTCAGTCAGGATGTATGATCTACGAATTGCTGTGTATTCCCAACTTACAAGTGAATCCGAGCACGTTTTCGGAAGTGGAAGACTGCCTGGACCACATGGACAGTTGGCGTGCGTTGGGATCTGCAAAGACATCTTCCATTCGGGTCGAGTAGGTCGTTTCTGTCCGACGACTGGGTATATGAGTCTCTCAAGACGTAGAATTTCATGCATCGTGTGGTCATCGCGACGGCCGTTTCGTGCGATGGTCCCCACCAACATAATTGTGATATTTGTCCAACGAGATAGCACTTGCTCCGTGGTTGTATCGGATGTGGTTGGTTTAAGTCGTATAGTGACGGTCAGGACCTCTCCGGGTGTAAAATCATGCTTCGAAGGTGGCGGTGATAAGGATAATGTAACATTCTTCCCCTTTGAGGTATATTCTTCAGACCTCTGCAATTGGATATCAGGAAGAAACATGCCTTCCAGGCCGCTAATGTTATTGCCCATCTGGAACGGTTTAGGCCCCTGCGTAGATTTGATTAGGTGCTGTCGTTGTGCTTCATGGCTCATAGGGGAATTTTCAGCTGAAAATTTGCCGATTCCGAGCTCAGAAGGGTGTGCCGAGGATTTCATTTCAAGCTCTTCTACGTGAACATGAGACGTGATTTCTGCCCGCAAAGGGTTTGGTAAAGTATGTTTAGATCTTGCTGAATTTGCCCCCAAGCCTGCATCGCCATCGAAAGGATAAACGGGTAGAGCTCCGGAAGTGAATGATGGCGAGGAGGAGGGATGAGATGCATCCTCTTGTAAGGAACTTTGCGCAGTCATCTGATCTGAGCTGGCCTTGGACGAGTGCAGTGATTGAGGTTTGTATCCTGAGGACGCGCCATTGATCGGATGTTTGGGCGAGTAATTTGTACAGAGTCGATCGTTTTGTAGAACCTCAAAAGGAGAATGAGGTGTCGCTGGAGAAACACCTTTAGGATTCGTCTTCGCAGAAGAGGAAGATAGCACAGGGGAGGCCTGAGAAAGGTAGGCAGACCTGACAGCTTCAGAAGCAGTCGAGGGAAACGGATTGCTGGATTTGGCGGACGCTGATGATTTGTTCAGGGAAACGAAGGGGGAGTCTGTTGGATCTTCAGCAATGAACCGCAGATGCTCAGAAGCGATCTTGATTGGATTCCGCTCTGTGACTGTCGAAGATCTTCGGACGTCCGGATCGGGCGAAAAGGAGAATCTTGGGTCAGACGGGCCGCTTAACATATCGAAAACCGAATTCCGAAAATCTTTCTGAGTCGTAGAAGGAACTGAGGCAGAAGACGAGCTAGAAGGTCCCGCCAGCTGAGGACATGATTGGTGATCTCGAGACATGAGCTCTGATTATCAACCGAATAACAACGTAGCAGTCCAGGTTCATCAGCTGTTACTAAGTACGCGCTAGTTGAATCGAACTGACCTGATATTTGCTGATGGTGTTGTGTCGTCGCATGTGTTTGCTGTTCTGGCGAGGGACCATCCGAGCCACCTTGAGCTTTCATCGATTCGGCTTTAGAGGGTAAAGACATGGCCGAAACCTAGAAGTGTGCAAATACCAGAGCGTTCAGTTCCTCATCGCACATTTACTTACATCTTCCTTTTCTTTGGAGGACGAAATTCAAAGAGGCCAATCTGACCTTGGTTCTATGCCACCCTTTCTTGTGTCCACATAAAGCACATTGGGCTTTGTTGTCGGATTTGTCGTTATCGACCCATATGGGACATGGACAAGGTTGCCCTGGAAGTAAATCCGCCTTGCATCGCTCCAATGGCCTATTTTCTTCCAGAGATCCTTCGATGGGAGTCAAATGCCACTCGGCACGATGGTCACAAGTGTCGCAAGGCCCACCGTCAGATTCTGGATCTTCCCAAATCGGACAGCGACAAGGTTGGGGATCCTCGATCGAAGCATGACGACAGTGTAAAAAGAACATTTGAACGTTGTATAGAAAGTAGAAGCGAGTTTCTGAGAAATGAATACGCTAAAAGGGCAGGAGCCAAATGAAGGGGGTAGGCGATTGTGTGCTGTGAGAATGTGTGATGACTAATGGATGAAGTGAGACGAGCGACTGACTGAAAAGCGAATAAAGCTGATGGACGTCGAAACCTTCGACCCTGAAGTATGGCTAGCCCGAGGGCTGAAGAGTTTAAACTTAGACTGAACCACCTAGTTCAAGCTCCCGTCACTTTTCTTTCGGCCAGCCTTGTCCGAGTCGAATGGCAATCATTTCGGAAACCCATTGACCATCCATTTTAGGAACACATTGCAATTTGCTTGCCTTTCTCAAGAGGTTCGAGTTCCTTTAAACATTCGTTGTACTTATGATAGATGCAGCACGAACGCTGTAAGACGCGTAACTGCTCGGCTCAAATTCGACATGTCATCGCACTTCATAAGGATATGTACTGCACAGTGACTGGCTGTCCTTCGCGGGTGGTCTTTCGACTGTTTTAGTCTAGGATTGCTCACTGCAGGGCTGGATTGTGAAAGCATGAGAATGAAGCAGGTATGTATCAATGGCTGACCTGGACTTGTAGACTCGCACCGCCAACGCTCAAGGCTTTGATAATCAGTGCTCAAAAGTGTTCAATGCGATCTAAGTGATGAGCCTTCATACTGATTGGGCGAAGTGAAGTTTTGTAAAATTGCATTTTAGAGTATTTTCACGTATCTTCAATTCAATAGAACTGGACAGCTACTCCCAAATTAATCAAAAGGGAGAATTTTCAATACAATCAAAGCAGACAACCATCCACAAGTCCTGTAACTCCACATTATTTTTTTGCTTTTGATTTGATCTAAAATTTGTGGTTGTGTGTTCCACTAACCCGTCCTAAATACATGTGATATTCTTTGATCTGACATATTTTCAGGTCAACTCCATTTGAAAGCCTTATCTGTTTATAGATATTCGCGGTGGATCTGCCAGGCCCTTTGTTGAAGTTGCAGTCAAATCGAGTTTTACAAAACTTCACTTTGCCCAATCCCTACCTATCCGTCCCTCGATGTTTCCTCTGACTAAGCTCATTCCGTCTGGCTTGTACTGATAGACTTGATTGCACAGGAATGTGTCTCTTGGCTCTAGATACTCAGGGCGCGTCCACTTAACAATTTCTGGTCCAAAATTGCATTTTGCAAAATGTAAAGTGCTGCTTTGTTGGACTATGGTGTGCATTTTAAAATTCACAGAAGGCAATTTTTGGAATGCAGTTTCTGGACAGAAATTGCCAGAAATTGCTTGGACAGAAATTGCTCAAATGAAGTGCCCTTAATGGATGCAACCTCAATGTCTGGGTCCACGCTTAGCGGCCACAGAGTCAAGCTTCATTAGCATCATGTCAAACTTGAGAAAAAAATAAATCAGACATAAGACTTGAAACAGAAGAACTGAAAACATGGAAATTCAACCACTCTTGTGATATGTAGAGTAGTGATGTAATGAGCTTTATAAATCTCTGTTTCTCCACCAAAGGTTTGAATTATCCAGTTCTATGTTAGCCACTAATTAGAGTGGGTATCAACTATGTGATTGACTGTTTTTGGAAAATTTGGTTTGCACATTTCACAGTTTTTCCAAGAAAAACAAATTTTTAGGAGGTTCCTGAGAACATGGATCCCATGTGAATATTTCTGTGATTGAGCATTATTGGTACTGAGTGTAAAGCATTGTTGTTGAATCTCACTGAGCTTCACTCAATGATACTCATGACTAATCTAGTTGAATGGGATTGTCACTTCTTTATGGAATGCAACACATGTCAAAGCAACGATCCCAAATTTCAAAAATCAAAATTTCAGAAGGATAAAACCCCAGATGGGACAATAGTTTTCCAGAGAAGGCACAACGTAGGTGGGCAGTGTTCATGTCTATGGGGAATGCAGTTGTGCAAGTGCGTCAAATTGGGAATTTATATCATCTGCCCAGTTCAATCCTGACAACATATACAATTGAGATCCAGATTAGAGATGATAACATATAGAGGTCCAGACTGGAAAGAACATCTTCTGTTGGGTATACAACCAATGCCAAGTTAATTCCCCACCTGATGGATTATATGGAGAGGAGCAGTTGAGAAAGCTTCTATTTCTCATCCGCTTATCACTTCACATCTTTCATCCAATTTTATTGCAAGATTATCTGACCAAGTTTATCAACAATATCCTGATTGACTTTTCTTATCTTTTAAAAAGTTAGAAAACAAAATACAAAAAAATATCATTCCTCTTCTAAATATCTCCTCATCCTATTCTTTCTATAGCCATCTAATTTAGAACATCTATCAATGTTTTTCACACTTGAAATAAAACAGCAAGGGATACTTATAACAATGTCAATCAACACAATTTCATGTGTGATTGCTGTGCTAGGCACAATTATACCAACAACCAACAACAACTTGAACCCTGCCTCAGCATTGACCTACAACTTGAATACCAAAACTCAAGGTACTTGAAGCACATCTAATCCAGCACCACCAAGCGGGTCCCAAGTGTCTGCAACACAAGCTGGAGCCTTTGGAAAGTACCAGAACCAAATGTTAGTACCTAATTACCACAACAGAGGTAAAGGTGATCAATGTTTTGCACATCCATAAGATAACCCAATTGATTTGTCAGATGATATATTCAGGAAAACAAAAAGCTAACAATCAAAACTTGACCTCTCTTTCTTTCATAGAAATAGGGACAGGTTCATCAGATTCCCCATCATGTTATTCAAAGGACAAGGCAAATTACAATAATAATTGCAAGCAATTCATCTAGCAAGATTCTCAAAGATGTTATATGAGAGAGACATTCCACCTGTAAATTCATTTGTGAATGCCAAAATTTTTAAGATGACTTGGGATGACTTCTCAAAGGTATCTTTGGTCCCCCCTCAAGTGTGTCCTTACACCCCAGAGCCAATTTCCTACAAGGCTTATAAGGAGACCCTTCACAAGATTCTGATCTAGCTTATAAGAATATCAGCAAGATTGCTAGAAGCCTTAGCTAGTCTATATTCATCAGCTGAATCCTGCTGGTACAAATTGAGTCAACTAAGGATCAATCCTAATAATCTTGGAGTCATTGAAACAACTTTGATATCTCAGCAATAGACTTGTAACAAAATTGCTTGTCCAAATTCTTTAAAGCATTAACACAATGGTTTTAGGATTGGGGTGTTTCAAGTGAAACCCAAATACTGGTGGTCTGGGGTGTAATAGCCAGGACTACCTATATTGGATATTAGGATGATGTACAAAAAGAAGTCTAAGATCCTCTTGAACATGTACACTCTAGTTGGAATTGAAAAGATATAAGTGGACTCTGATATTGGTCTGAAAACCCCTGTATTTGAGAAAAACACAGTTTCTGCCACTTTTCACCTGTTTTCAAACCATTTCCAAACCACAACTCCAACTTTGGCTGCTTTGGTGGCACTTTGGCACAAATAATACATGTAAATTTTGATGAATGGATTTTTTTGCATTACAACTTTCACAAAATGAAAAACATATGAAACAGAAACCTTTCCATACCACAAGTCAACCAGTTGAGATTTTTGTCTCACCACCCGTTGTGGTGATCAATTTATATCATTGGTCAAGAAATTTTGAAGGTTTTATCACATCATTGATCAATATTAAGTTTCAGTGCAAGAGTTCTTTGAGTACTCATTTTATCATCTAGTTAAAGGTTTTTAGGGTTCTTCATCTTTGGGTCAATACATAATACTTCAACAAATCATTCATGGATACATCAAGATCATTAAATTTTCCTTATTAGGAGGTAATCAAGAAGAAAGATGAATAAACATATAAATAATTTGAAAATATAGGTAAAATGTAGTTGGAAATGGTTTTTAGGGTATAAAAAGGACTGTTAAGGGGTCAATAAAATTGTATCAGTAAGAAGAAAGATCATTTTGATTATTAATCAATTTAATCTGAGGTGTTGATTAGTAAAAAGTCAAATAACGAAGGAAAGAAAGATTACAAAAAGTGGTAAACAGGGGTGTTATGGGTAAAATTAGATATGTAGTGATGTGTTTAGTCAAAAATAAAGTTGGAAAAGAGTTTCGAGGTTATTTTTCAAAGCTATTCATAAGAAGAGATTGGCTTATAGTGACTTAGAAGTGGAGTAGAAGTAGTGAAGAATGGTGAAGATTTGGAACAGGGTGTAAACCCTTTGAAAACTTATTTTTTCATTAGCAATCATCCACATGATACAAAATATAATCCAGCACATGTGCCTTGTGCCCGGAATTCTTTTGGCTGAAAATTTGGATTTTCAGGGCAAAAAACCAGGCATATAACACTACGCCAGATTGCAAATTTACCGCTGAGTTTAAAGAATTAAAAAGACATAGAAAATTATACACAAGGCAGAAGGGGTCAAAAAAATATGGAAAAATAAGGGTTGCATTCCCCTGTGTGTGTCCATCATTTTGCATATTTTTAAAGATTTTTACGGCAGCAGTGTATATTCGGTCAGAGACTCAGTTTATGTCCAAAGCTGGCATTCATGGAGGCATTAACCTTGTGAGACCAATCAAATTGTCAATTTTGTGTCAACATCTGGAATGTCTGCACATTCTGAAAGCTGCATTTTTAATTTACCAGATACACATTAGAATGAGTGGTGTGTATCCAAAAATGAAGAAGGTACAGCAATCAACATCCCCAACAGCAAAGCTAGAAAACCTTATAAATCTGTCCCGCAAGGGTTTTAGCATCCAAATGGAAACTGTAGATCCAGTATGCGGCCTCTCATAATCTGCAACTGCCAGTTTGACTGAAAGAAAATTGTTGTATTTGTGATTGTTGAAAAGTTTCTGCCCAAGCCTGGGTAGTTTTGGCCAAAATTTGAGTTTCTGACCAAATACACCCCAAAATCATTTTTCTATGTAACATCTTCAAAACTCAAGGTAAAAATATGAAAAAATATGCAACATGATGGGATATCAAAGACTGATTCAACCATATTTTCTTCGAATTTTTCCTACCTCTCATGCATTGCTGAGAATTTTCTACATCTTGACTTTTCTAAACTCCATGGTATATTAT